AAAACCCCAAAACCCCAAAACCCCATGGTCTTTTAATCTTTGCCAAATTTGAAATTAGTGATAATGAAATCAAGATAGTTCATCAGCTTATTATATTAAAACTAACTGAATTTAGTAGTGAATTAGGTAAAACTGATAAGATATTCACTATTCAATTATAACTTAGGACTTATGTATTTACAAATCTTGATTGGGTAAAGGTCTTCTTAGAACTTTGATACTGTATCTAGACTTGTTATCATTAAATGAAAAATTCATTCCACTGTTGTAGTGAGAGGCTTTGCTGAACATTCTTTTCTAGGACTATGACTTTTTATTGATATCATTTAATACAGACCTACTTTGTTCTTGAGTCAACCTGTAATCCAACACTGCTTACTATGCCTTTAACTTAGCATCATCAGATATTTTCCTTACATACTGATCCACATCTTTACCAACTATAAATCTCTTCTTGGTTAGTCCCATTAGATCTACTTGGATATCTGAAATTTTATGTTTATCAAGCTGAGCTCCAATATCATAGATACTCTGCATCATGATATTTTTCTCATAAATTGACTAGTTAAGAGAGTTGTCTATTGTACTCTAATTATGTATATTAGATGTTTTCCTGACCTTTTCATTATACAGATCAAGTTACTTTTGCTTTGGTGACCTAGCATCCTAAGTCAAATAATGGTTTTTGAGAGACTACTGCTTCAGTTTGAAGTATAAGGCGTTATCTGAATTTGTTAGATCTTATTCTTGAACATTATTAGCTAAAATCATAGAAGCAAAATTTTCTACATTTCTATTGATAATCTTCTCCAAATCAAATGTTGAACTCTCTTTATTCATGATCTTCTTGTTCAATACTTTTGCTCTTTCCTAAAACCTTGTCAGTTACTCTTATCTTTCTAAATTTTGTCCAAATGATAGCATCATCGTTTCAAAACTACGAGGTATAAATATTCTGTTAGAACTTTGCTTAAGATTTTCAAGTACTTTTCTCATGCACATTCTAAATTCTAATGAATATTATGAACATTAAGACTATATTACATTTAAGTGAATTCTGAGAGTTGTTGATATTCTTGAAGTTTCGCAAAGTAAAGTTCTGATTATTAAACATTGCTTTAAGGGTCTCTTTATCAATTCCAATATCATTTTCAAGGAATAACTCACTTAGTTCATCGATGTCAAGAGCACCACTGCCATCTGCATCAAATTTTCTAAAAAGCTTCTCCATTTTCTCATTCTAAGCTACCTAATCTTCGTTCATCAGGTACTTGGGTTTAATAACTTCCGATGCGAGCTTACCCTGTGCTTATCATCTTAGCCAATTCCTCACATTAGTGTCCTTTAATGCAATAGACTCTGAGTGCAAATTGCTTTTGGATATTGTCTGTCTAATTGGTCTTGCTAAGGATTTATATGACTCTTTTAGAGTCAAATCCACTATACTTCTAGACATAGATTCCTAGGGTGGACTTAATGAGAATTGCATTATTTTTTCATCAAAATTACTAAATTCATTATGAAATAGCGGTAATATTTACCTAGAATCATATCTAAATCTGGTTGGAGACTAAGTGATTGCATTTTCTCCTCAGGAATGCTTAGTCTTTATTGATGGCAGATGAAAAGTGTAGTTAGTGAGCTAGCTTTAGGGGTAGGATGGGGTTTTTTAGAGAGGACTCTTGCTCTGCATTTTATTAAATTTACAAAATAAAATGAATTGGGCTTAATTATTATAAAAACTCTACAAGTTTTGTCAATCCTCATACTGCCTTTATGTAAGGGGTTTTGGGGTTTTGGGGTTTTGGGG